GAGCCACTGAAACATGACCGAGTCATCATATGTGGGTCCTTGTGGGCGAACAGCCGGTGGCTGGGGCATGGGTGTCGCGTCTCTGGCTGTGGGTGGGAGCCAGTCCGAGGGGTCCTGGGGCTGGAAACCGGGCTGGTCCGCCATCGCTGTCCGCGCCCAGGAAGCCCGAATGCGCGAGGGAGGCGGAAGCTCAGGCCGCCTGGGTCGTGCACCGGCTGCCCTTGCAGAGCTTCCCCTGGGAGCTGGTGCCCCGAGCCAACGGGCTGGTGCGTGCCCAGGCAACAAGGGCGGTACGGGACCATCGCCGCCGGCGGCTGGCCCAGGCCTGCGTTGCCTCGAGGAGCTTCTGACGGCCCGCTGGGCCGAAGACCAGCGGAGAAAGGGGCCGTAGCTTGCCTGACGGGAGGTACAGCCCGGCACCAGGCTCTTCAAGCCAGCGTTCACGGCCGTGGCCTGCGCGGGAGGCGTGAGGGCAGGCGTCCGGGCCCGCCGCTGAGGCGGTGCCAGGGCACGGTCAGCGCGGGTCTTCGCTGGGAGGCGCAGGTCACGGCTCAGGGGAAACGGCCGGGTGGGCCGGGCTGCGCAGGTGCTGGAGCGTCTGCTGAGGTGGGAGCCCGGCCCAAGAAGGGGGCGGCTGCCCGGCTCTACGCGGGTGCGCGACGCTGCCGGTGCACCGGAGCCACAGAGCCGGCCGGGCGCGTGGCGCCTGCGCCTGCCGTCCACCCTGGCCGGCCTCCAAGCCGGGGTGCTCCTGGCACTGGAGGCGCCGCCTTGGGGCCGCACGGGCTCGGGGTCTCCCCCGTCCCCCAGCAGGCCCTGCGCCTGGTGCCTCTGTGCACCCTCCCTCTGTGCCACCCAAACAAAACCCAGGCAGCCGCCTCCTTGCGTCCCGCGCCGATTCTGGCGCCCACTGTCAGCGGGGCAGGTGGACAGGTGAGTGATAGCGACCCAGCAAGTCCCATCACGCCTGTGGAGGACACACCCACAAAGGAGCCGGCTGCCAGCCTGTGGTGCTGCGGTGGGTGTGGAACCCCAGATTGCGAAAGGGTCCCCAGTAAACCCCCGCCCTCCCTGGACCGGGCCTGGCCACGAGCCCTGGGGGGCAGGGACTGAAACCTCTGTGTTCCGTGTCTTGGGCAGGATACTGTTTCAGGAAGTGCCATCCCGTCCACTTCCTGAAACTCGCGGGCCCTGGAGTCATGGACAAAGCAACAGCCTTTCCCAAGGTCGAGCTTCCCGCTGCAGCCCCAGGCCCTCGTTTTGCGGGGGGCGGCGTGGTGGCGGGAGGGTCTTGGGGCCTCCTGAAGTCTCACGGACTCTTGGGCCGAAGGGACCTGCTGGGCTCACTCACCCCGCGTAGTGGGCTCCCAGCCCAGACCCGGCCGCCTGCACAGAGAGCCCCTGCAGGCCGGGGTGAACCTGCACGGTTCTCTTCCAGATCCAGCTCTTCGAGTCTCTGTCGGCCAAAACCTGCAGCTTGTCTTCCCAATTACGTCCAGGACAGCAGTACCGTTACAGCTGTTAAGACAACCGCCGGGACGACGTCAGACCTGGGTGGCTGCGGGAAATCGTGGACCAGCCACACCTCCAAGGTGGGCTCAGTTCTGCTGTCAGTGCAGGAGGTTGGGTCACCTGCGCTGGCCCGGCGGCCCTTCTCCTCATGCAGGGAACCCACTTACCATCCCTCGGAGGCGGACCAGTCCAAGGGCAGGGGGATGGGGCAGAGTTACATGAGGACCTCGGCCACACCCCAGCTTTCCCCCAGGCACACCCCTTCACATTGTCCCTTTCCGGCTGGGGTGCTGCTCCGAAAGGTGGGGCACGAAAGACCCAGGCGAGCCACACCCCTGGCACAAGGAGCCGCGTCGTTCGCTCAAACACAACACACTGCTCACACAACACCAGTCACCTCAACAAACACACAACCCATACACACACCAGTTCCCCACACACCTACCACAATGCCACACACACACATTCCAATCACACACACACAACCCTCACACACATAATCCCCATCACACACAATCACCACACACATAATCCCCCTCACAGACACACATCCCCCTCACACATACA